AGGGGTACGAAAATCGGATGTTCCCTGAGGCAGGCTGCTCAATGATCCCTTTCTAACAGTTGCCCGATGCAGTGAAGGAGGCCTTCTCCTTGGTACCAACTTTGTTTACGACGACCTGCTTACCGTTGGAGCAGGTGACGCGGACGCTGACTGTGTCCACAAGGAAGCCGTCACCACTGCTCTTCTGCCAGTAGTTGTAGTCCTGACGGACGGTGGGCTGCCAGCTCTTGCCGCTGTCGGTACTGACTTCGAACTTGGTGACTGGGTAGTTGTGGTTCACAACTTGCATGGAGAACCTAGGAGTTATGTAAGTCAGACTATCTGGGTCACTGCCGTGATAAAAGACACATACCAATATTTCGAAGTTCCTTCCTTGTTTCGGACGATCAAGGGTGAGGTGATGCCGCAAGGAACCTGTTCCCATGAGACGCTGATCTGTCCCTTATTGGGATCGTCGAGCTTGGCGAAAGCATCGGGGAAGAGATCGAGTTGGCCGTTTCCGCAACCTGAGGGGCACTTATCGACGACCTGATACCGAGTTAAAATGGCTCGTAGATGTGATTGAAAGAGATTATTGATACTCACCATAACCTTGATGGTGTTGCCCTTGGGTCCCTTCACATTGAGGCAAGTACCGCAGTTTCCGTTGTAGTTGGTATAGGACAAGGCAGTACCCAGGACGCTTGATGGCAACGTGTAACCGGAAAACAGGCAGTTACCTCCGTTCAGGTTTCCACCATACCAAGTTGCAACAGCGCTCGTGGCAGCGGTGGTGCCTTGAACCATGACGGCAAGGGCCGCGCCGAGAGAAATAAGACCGTGCATCTTGATGGATGGAGGGGATGATCCTGGAAGTCAAGCGAGAATGAACTGGATGGAAGGCTGGTTGGGAAGAGATCGCAGGAAAGCCAGCTCGATTTATACCAGGAGGCCCACGATGCTTGTCCCAATCACTTTAAAGTACGCAACCAAATGAAGAAGGTCTCAAGGGACGGGCTGACATACTGTCAGCCATGCGGCATCCCACAGAAGAAACAATACTCAATTCATTAATCTATTTCACCCGAATGACAAACTCTTTGGGGTATCATTCCTAAAGACTAATGGCTCTTGCAACTTATCAGAAACCCGCCACTCAGCAATAACAGCCCCCCTTTCTCTGCCATGTGAGACTACATGGGGGAATTCTGCCCTCTAATTTGTCAAAGTAGCGCTAGGAGCGCGGAGCAAGCGGAAACGCGATCGGGAAACGAAGCCACAGAGGTTCACAATGGGCCTGTTCTGCCTCCTACTCTATACTAGCAGCGGACTGTGCTTCGTCGGCTCCCCGGCTACCTGCATTAATTTATAGGTGTCATCCTGTCAAGGGGGCTTGTATCCGCGTCGTACGGTTTGTTGCCGACTTTGGGTTTATCCCTTGGTGGAGGAGCGTGCCAATTGGGAGCTTTAAAGTTCAACGTTTCACTAAATAGTCAATGCTAACCCAAAGGGATGGTTACTGGCCGCGAGTCTGGACCGGAGTGGATAGTGGACATGAGTCGCGATATTGCGGGCGGTGCCGTATTTCAGATTGCACGGCCTGTTCGTGAGCAGAATTCCACTTCGGATCCCACGTGGACGGATCGCGTTGTGGGAATCTATTGTGAAAAGAGACAGGGCTGCTTCAAAATGCCATGTCTTCGGGTCTAGCCTATTTCTTCTTCTCCATGCCGGTATTCCGTGCAGGTGGTTGATGGCCCTGTCAGGCTGTCATCGGTCAAGCCGGTGTTCGCTTGTAATTAGTAGAAGCGATGTCCTAAGGTAGTGATGATCACATTTCTTTTGTTCATCCCTTCGATTGTCTTGCCGCACAACAAGTTGCTTGGCTATTGCCGAGTTGCTCAGATAGATTACAGACGGCCGTTCTGGCGAATGGCATTGACGCATAGATTTTTGTTTGCATTCTTTCGAAACAAAACGTCCTGTTGTTTGTCTCTCGAGATTCAATCCAGGCCATCACATAAGCCTACTAATTTGTACATATTGTCATTTGCAACCATGACAAATTGACATTTAAATTGCCAGCAACATCCTTCAGTCAGACCATACCCTCGCTATTGACGAGCTTTTTCGAACGCATCTGAACTCTTTTAGTGAAAAGCCTGATTCCACTGCACGTGAGCCGTCAGAGACCTAAGCTGATGAATGCCCAGGTGCGCTGACCCGTCAAAAGTCCGCCATCGCCCCGCTTAGACTGAACAAGGCAGTTTGAAGCATACACCACATCTCACACGACAAGGTAGGTAACGATGCATCTTCGGTCAAGTTGTAGTCACATCCAATTGGCACTTGCCCAGCAGCCTCTCACCCAAGGGTTACGAAAATGTACCCGGAAGATCGGAATCACTGAATCAGCACCATGGTCCAGCCCCAACGGTCTGGCCGAACCGGTGCTTGAAAAACGACCATTCACCAATGTAGGACTGATAGCCGAGGATATGACTCGAGATTCAAGCTGAACGAGGACGCTTTCGTATTCTCGCATATAACACGCTAACTGAAGATGGCATTCGGCGAGCGGGCCTTGAAGTCAGACCATGTGTGTCGCCGCATGCGTCCGATGTTCACAGGTGAGCAAGTGTCCACACCACGAACTTCTCAAGCCGCAGACGGAATGTCTCAACATCCGCCCTGCCTGAATTACTCCCGGATTCTTCAACATCGTCTGCTCACCGGAAGTCGCATCATTTGAACGCCCCAAATCATTTCTGTTCCGACTGCCTGTGACGTTTTCATACTTTGGTTCGTCTCATGTTTTCTTGGTATCATGTGTCCGTGGTGGATGGCAAGCGCGTCAAAATGTATATCTAAGTCTCTCCATGCGTGACTTATCGTCAGACATGGGCATGCATTAACCTAGTCAAAAATTGTCCGGTAATTCTCACACCACAATGGTCACCACACAATCAAAACCCGAGTCTTCTGGTCTGGACATGTCGAAGTACATCACTCCGTGGAAGCTTGATCCACAGCAACCATACCTCCTGAAAAATTGCAGAATTGTTGACCCTGTTCATGGATCGATCAGCAGCAATGCCACTATCGCCCTGTCCGCCGGCAAGATTATTTCCGTTGAAGCAGGCGAGCCAGCAAAGTCAGATGGAATTGATATCAAGACAGAAAACATTATCGACCTTGAGGGAAAATATGTCTGCCCCGGTCTGATCGACTGCCATGTCCACATCGCAGTTACACCAGGCGCAGCCAGTCTGGCGTCGTACCGAGATATGACTGAAACCAAAAGCCTTCTGCGGCAGCCTAGTGTTCTGAAGTCAATGCTCCAGCGCGGGTTCACTACTGTCAGAGACTGCGGTGGTGCAACTCTCGCCATGAAAGAGGCCGTTGAAGAGGGCATCTATCCCGGTCCGCGCCTCTTCATCTCTGGAAAGGCTCTGTCCCAGACTGGCGGCCACGGCGACATGAGAGGGCGACACGACACCATCCCTTGCTGCGGCGGCGCTGTATCGGGCATCAGTCGAATCGTAGATGGGGTGCCGGAATGCTACCGTGTTGCTAGAGACGAGCTGCGCCAAGGTGCAGACTTCATCAAGATCATGGGCGGTGGTGGCGTTGCCAGTCCAACTGACCGCATCGATCAGCTCCAGTTCTCTGACGACGAAATCAAGGCTATAGTCACCGTCGCAAATAACGCAAAGACATATGTCACGAGTCACTGCTATACCACAGAGGCAGTGACACAGGCCATCAACCAGGGCGTCAGGGGTATTGAGCACGGCAACCTGATCGATCTCGAAACTGCAAAATTGATGGCGGATACGGGGACCTTTCTCACGCCGACGCTTGTCACTCACTTCGTATCAAAGGAGTCACATTTCCTAGATGCTGAGTCAGAGGCCAAAGTCACCACTGTACTTGAACAGGGCTTAGTTACACTCAAGATGGCAACTGAGGTCGGTGTCACAGTATGTTTCGGAACAGATCTGCTGGGTCCAACTCACTTCGCTCAGTCGAAAGAGTTCTCTATTCGCAGTCAAGTCCAGACATCTCTTCAGATTCTGCAAAGCGCCACTATCAATGCCGCCAAGCTGCTTGGCCAAGAAAACAAGCTTGGCCAGGTCAAGGAAGGATTCATGGCAGATTTATTGATTCTAGATCGTAACCCTCTGGATGATATCACAATCCTGGACAAGTCTCAGGAGTCTATATTGGCTGTTGTGAAGGATGGCAGGGTCATGCATTCGCATCTGAGCTATATGAAAGAAGAGCCGAGAGTCTGAGGGCCCGGGGTCAATTGACCTCAAGTATAGAATCATTTAATTAGCATCAATAGAGATCCAAAGAATTTCTTGCATCTTACCTTAACAGCAATTCTTCCTGGGCGCGTTTGTCTCGCTCTTACCGGTGACCAAGTTTGATCAAAATCTATTCCAAACCATTCGTATTGACTTGATATCCTACCGTATTTACAGCTTTTCGAAAGAATCGAACTCTATTCGACAAATTTCTTCGTGTAAAATGACTTCGGCTTTATGGTGGTGTTCCAAAGCGCGTACTCAAGAAACCGAGTAGCCGGCCGCGATTTCGGCTTTTGAGCCCCATCTCTACGTCACCTGAGTTTTTTCCCCCCCGGATTGTTAATCGAAAACACGATTTGTAATGTATCATGGCTGATAAATCACATTCAGAATCTCAGGGACATAATCTCCAATAAGAAAGGCATCAATCCATTGAAGAATCCCAGCCTGCCTGGAGATACATCCAAAGCTCTTTGCTGCCAATTTTGACTAGGAACTTCTTCTTTTGATTACGCTTCCTTGGTCATGTCGACCACAGTAACAACCACTCAACCCCATGCAATGGAACTTGGCTCGGCTCCAATAGACGATGGCATGGAGACGGAAACTCGAGTATCAGCTATCACTCGTCGACTAGAAGCCTCTGCCATCCCTCGAGAGTTCGCCTCCTTCGCGGAAGAAATCGGGTTCGTCTGCATATGCTCTATGGGACAGCTGCTGTTTGCAATACATCTTTCGCATATCTTTGTCAATCAAATCACTTTAATCGACGCTCTGAAAACGACTTCGCTCAATACACCATGGCTTATCGGTTCATATCTCGTCGCTAACGGAGTTTCCGTTCTGATCTCGGGGTCCTTGGCAGATCTTATTAGTCCGAAACATCTCACCTGTGCGGCCTTCATCTGGCTTACTCTTTGGAATCTTATCGGTGCGTTCTCTGTCATACCTAAGAGAATAATACTATTCTTCGTCGCTCGAGCAATGTCTGGCTTGGCCGTTGGAACCCTTTGCTCCGCGGCAATGAGCATGCTCGGGAGGGTTTACAATCCCGGTCTACGGAAGAACCGAGTATTTTCTTTGATGGGTGCCATGATTCCCCTCGGGTTTGCCATCGGGTTCATACAGGGCGGTGCGTTAAGTACACATTTGCCCTGGATATTCGGGTCAACATCCATCTTGTCTCTGGCATGCCTCGTCGCCGCTATCTGGTGTATTCCTTCTCTCCCCAATGAATCATTGTCTTTGAAGGACTTTGACTACATAGGAGCTGCAGCAGCAATTCTTGGATGCGGATTGCTCATCTTTGGTCTCACTCAAGGATCGCCTGCGCAGTGGACTCCATACACTTACACCCTTGTCATCATCGGAGTTGCCTGTTTAGCCAGCTTCGGTCTCATTGAGAGCCGCGTACGGCGGCCGCTGATCGACAATCGCCTTTGGAAGACTCCTGGATTCTTTCCTTTGATCTCGTCCTATTTCCTAGGATACGGTGCTTATGCCGGAGCCTGGCAATTCTATGCGGTGCGCTTTCTGCTTACCATCCAGCAAAAGCCACCCATCATTGTCGCATGTTATCTTCTCCCTATCGGTGTAAGCGGAACCCTTGCGTCGTGGATTGTATCCAGGACGCTTCATATAATACCGGGACACGTTATCATGATGGGAAGTATGCTTGCATTTGCCACAGGCCCTGCTTTCTTCTTACCTCAACAAGCGGGTACACTTTATTGGGCGCTCTCATTTCCCTGCTTCATCGTAAGCACATTTGGGCCGGATATGTCGTTCGCAGCTGTCTCCGTGTTCATCACGTCGAACGTGCCCAGATCGTACCAAGGTGCTGCAGGAAGCTTGGTCATCACTGCGCAAAACCTGTCCACCGCTGTACTCGCGGCATTGGGAGACACTATTGGGGAAAAGATCACAGGGCAGCCGGGGGGTTCCCTAGACTTAATGGCCCTGCGTTCCATCTGGTGGCTGAGCCTGGCGACCGCTCTGACAGGCGCTTTGATATGTGGTTTCTTCGTCAGAATACCAAGGAGTGAAGAGAAGGAGCATATCAGCTGAATGTATGCACAGGAATATGAAGGATTCTTGGGTATTACTGGTCATAAAACATTTATTATGTCCATCAACACCTCGATGGTGTATTTCAATTGATATAGCCTCATGCTCGTTACCTAACCACGCTTATTCAAATGCTGGCCTACCTTCTGGTGGCACTGGGGTATCATCAAGCTGTCTTCTAAATCTCTGCATCTCCAGGATTCTACACCGTCTCGCTGGACTTCTGTGATTGCGTAGTGGTTGAGCAAGCCGCAACATGCTCAAGGTCGACATTGAGGTCGTACGCTGGCTCGCTGACGACATCAAATCTGCTCATGCGTGTTATTTGCAGCGTCTTGACGGTTGATTTGTAGTTGTAAGCGTTAGACTTGTCCGAATAGCCAGCGTTTCGGTTCGATCGGAAGTATGGTCTTAGGCATGGTAATGTCGCGACTAAAAGACCAATATTGACGTCTAGCTCGCTCCAAAGTTCTGCGACTCAGCCGTCAGCACACGTATCAAAGAGCCTATAGAGACATGCAGCATGTTCAAATACTCACCAACCAAACCGAAAGGCAAGGCCTCGACCGATGCTGTCTGAATCGTAATGAAGCGAACGAGAGAGAAGGTCATGTTGATGATGCCGAGACCAAAGGTACAATAAACGCCGATTTTGAGGGCTCTCTTGATCTTCAAATCAGGTAAGATGAGCCAAGGAAGGCAGAAAACTTTGTAGAAAGTCAGGAAATCTTCGAGTTGAAAGACCAGGGTCTCTGTTTACTTACTCAGAATATCCCCGAAGAAATGCAATGCCCAGCCGACTTGGAAGACAATTGCGGGAGACGAAGCCGAGCACATAACATTTTCTGTTCCTACGACCCGATCTTCGACAGACCTGACCGAGAGCTGAAGTCAATTTCAATGCCTGAAAACGGGATTTCTCGCTGTCGGATAAACTGACCAGTTCTTACTAAGGGGCAGGCAAATAGTGAAAAGTAAAATCATGCTGACCAAGTACGCCAGCCCAACGTATATTATAGCAGTCCATAACATCATTCGTCGATAGTACATAAAAATGGGGAATATCTGAACGTAGACGGCGAGAAGGGCTCCTTTGCAGAGGTAGAATGTTGTGAAGAATGGTATGCTGCTGGCCCAAAACAACTTTCAGGCACGAAGTGTCAGTACAACTAAACTGATCATGAAGAAGGTGTTCTTTCTTACCCTCATAATTAGCATAACTTCGTCGTCGTTTCCGTCGAATCCATCGAGATTGATCTTGATATTTTGATGCAAAGCGCCCATGACTGTGAACTGTATATCGAATGAGGCAGTTACAACTGCAGAGCACCATGCTAGGCATAGGAAGTAATCGCTAATTTGTAATTTCCTCCCTTGGATGTTGATTCGGAGATGAAGAGAAGCAGCTAGTACTGCGCCGGCGGTCAAGATGGTGACCCATCCCGTCGTCTAAGTTCGTGCCAGAAAGGTCAGCGATCATGTTCCGATTTCCAAGGTCCCGACATTCAGAATCTGAGATCTGACATACAATGATCGTTACCGCCTTTGGGGTCGGAAAGTGAGCCATTATCCATCGTCACATCTTCACACACGTTGTTGAGCCCCGTCAAGAAAGTGGGCGTCTGGAATTATAAAAGAGGATGGAAAAAGAGCTGAATTCCTGCGTGGGCTAGTTGAGACAGACTGACTCCTAGCGTGAGATGAGAACCATACTAGCCCTGGTTCCGTTATCCGATTTCGAACTAAACATACGTACGATACCGAATTCATCGTCCGGATTCGGAAGTGTTCCAACTTTATCCTTGAAAGTCACGCCCATCGGCCGACCCTAGATCCTCTTGCACATGCGTGAAAGCGCTGCAAGAACACAAGTACAGCAAGGCAGGCGTCCTCCAAAGGGATGCATAACGATGTGGACATGGCTTGCATGAACTCATTGTGAAGATAATGCCGATGCCAACCATTATAGAGAGAACATCAATTGAATCGAAGTGGACCATTCAAGCGGGTTCTGCATATTCATTGCATCAGGGGTCTGAGATGAGTGTCTTGGTCGGCTGACATGCTGTTTCCCCTGCAACGTGGAGTATTGTCTTGGATGCAAAAGATCACCCGTGTCACCGCCTGCTTCAAGATCTGACACCCCGCTCGCCGAATTCATTCTTAGATTCAAAGAGCACCGGTAAAGTATATCATCGGATGCCTCTCATTTGCGGCCCTTCCTCGATCGGGATCGGTTTCGAGAAGCCGAAAAGACAACGGCCCGCGGAATTCTTCAAATAAAACACAAGATGCGTTGAGCCTTTACGAGCCTTAGTTTGGTGCCACTATGAGCCTATCTACAGGTAGTAAAGGATTCAGAACAGCCAAACTCCGCGCATACGTTTCGCGCACTCCGTTTCGTCCGTACCCGTGCAGCCGATTTGACGGGCCGGAACGGTGCCCATGGAACCAGTCTGTGCGATCCGCGCCACATCGCAGCACATGAGTACGTAGACTGAGCCGCTTGATCCTGATCACTCACGCTACCATTGGGCTACAGTCCTAATCTATGTAGACTAGTAGCCGCGCCGAGACCAATGTGGTGAACTAGACCCGGGGCAGCACGTGGAATAATCAGGTTGTTTACAGGCTTCGGTCTTTCGAAACGGGAACTAGCTTCTGGGAGAACCCGAAGAGTGGGCCACTCGCTGCGTAACCGTTCTAGACCAGCACTTTCCGATGTTTTGATGAGTACGGACGTATGAGCTTCCCCCATCAGATAGCAATCATTGGGCAAGAGACCTAAAGGTACGTTTCAAGAGCACGCCATTATACAGTCAACACAGTAATTATTCTAGACGGATTCTTTCGCTTTGACGACACGCTGATCGATTTGAATTCCAACAATGACCCTTCTAGATGTATTTTTAACATTTCCGTCGAGTGAATTGAAGGCTTGACGGAGAGAAACGCGTGGAAATATTGAGCATGCTGAGATGAATCTACTTAGGTAGATACCTTGCTCAATGATCTTCGCGGCTCGCCAGAGACATATAGGTCAGAAGACATATAGGTCAGAAGTCAAATCACCTTCACCAATCCCGAGGTTGGATTTTGAGAGCTGATGTTGACTGACTCTAATATTTATCCATAATTTTCCATGTATCAAATCTCGGTACCTAGTGAACAAGCTGCTTCTGAAGGGACCCCGGTGCCCGGGCCGCATGTTCACTCGGGGCCTCCGCCGGGCCGGCCCCACTTCGCCGCGTTTCCGAAACCATCGAATCCGGGCATGGGTGAGACAAGGCGAATAAGGGTGGCGGAAATCAAAGACACAGGAAACGTTTCTGTACGCATCATCTAACGTAAGCTCGGTTTGCCCGCACCACTTTCTGCTCGCCTTTGACGAAAACGGCCTGCCGCGATCCGACAATTCGAACTTACGATTGGCCCTTCCCCCACGCCCTTCCGGCACCCGGTAACAGTTGCTCATCTAGCCACCGATCCTTTACTATACCTAGATAATATGATGTGTCTCTCTTTCTTCCGGCGCAGAGCAACCATGGGGGTTTTCAGACTCCTGTTCCAAAACGGTACCTAGCCTCGGCGACCTCGGCGAGGTGTGGCGCATCTTCGCCGGTCGAAACTGATTGGCTGGGGAACAAACACTGTTCAAGAAAGAAGACATAAGATGACGTGCTCTGGTCATAGAAGAAATGGAAAGATCATTGGAGTGGCTTGAAAAGTTCCAAACCTGTTGTAAAACAACCATAGCGGACCGGGCCTGTTCACATATCGCTCTGACAAGTTTCATGTCTGCTCGAATTTGTCCCTGCGCTGTCGGATTCAATGAGCAGAAGTCACGACGTCACTTTTCCAAAGCTTCGCAGGAAAGATGGAGTAGTCATTTATTAACATCACGAAATGCTAAACTATTTGGTTAGGTAAGACGATGAGATTATAATTCTTGTTCTTCCTGCCATCCTACCGCAGTATTTACCACAAAGTCTTAGTTCATAAGTTCAACCAAGGGCTCCAGCTTGCGCCCAAAAAGGATCTATCGTTCAATTTTGCCATGACCAATTGGTCTTCTAGACGGCTCTCCATCGGCTCGAAGCCGATATATCGCGAACCGGACCTTGTTTCTCGTAAGTAACGCTCACGAAGTCGGTCCGAATAATCTTTCCGTCAGAGGAACGCTGACTTGAGTCACTTTGTCTGGATGTGAGAGTTGGGGCATTTAAAGAAGCTGATATGCCCTGGTTTGAGTCGGTTGCTGGCGTAAGGATATTCTCCTGGCTGTCGCCCTCGACAATGGTGAGACCAAGTTCATCTTTGGGTTTGATTTTTGGCTTGCGCTGTCCCAGCTCAATACCTCCTCCTCCCCGAGATTTTGACTTGCTCTGAGAGCCGTAGTCCTCATAATATTGCGGCGTTTGTTTGGATCCCTTAGCCGAGCTGAAGGGGTTGCGTCGAAGAATGAGCTCAAGAAGCGGCTGCATGACAGGTATTGAGCTTGCAATAATGATGGTGCTGCCCTCGACACTACCGGAATCCAAATTCAGTAAGGTGTTTCTTCCCGTGAGCCTCCTGAAGCGGATTGTACGTTGTAAGGAAGGGGCTAGACTTACACCGTCCAGATCACCAGATCAGAGGTATCGTCTATGCGGAAAAGATCAGTAAGATCTATTAACTTATTCAACAGGAAATGCGGGGCCCCACATGAGAAATCCTTGCTCGCAAGGGACGGGATGCGAGTCGTCTTGTAAATAGCAACGATACCAGATCTTCAAGTTATTAGTTGTATGAATCATGTGTTGAAGCTGCAAACTGGCCGAAAGAAAGAAGAGTCTTACATTGACCCGATGCCTAGCGCACAAGAAAGCGCAATTTTCTTTTTTGTGGCCATCTGAAGGCGGAATAGTACAATTGCCGGGTAAACAGCGAGGTATACATCGACAAAGGCCGAAAAAGCTGTGTCGTAGAACAGTATTAGCAAAACTCAAGAACCTTTCTAA